AGCTCCCATGTACTGCTGAGCTCTTGAACAGCCCAAATTGAAAGGAGACCATAAGTTACAGTCACCATCACAATTTAGGTTCACAAAAAGGAAAATACTCCATGCTAAAATGCATCCATAACATTTAAATCCTGAAAGCTGGAGGTGGTATTTTCCCCAGGAGTCCTTATTTTTAATACTTGCTTCCACAAAAGTAGGTTTAGACCAATTTTGAAGAAAATCTCCTGTTAAAACAACTAGTTGCATTACCAGGATGCCTGAGGAATGCAAGGGCAAGGTCTCCCCATACAATAATGAAGTTAATGCACCAAAGTTTTGATTTTTATTATCTTTCAAACACAGTTTCAGATATAAGATGCTAACCTCCAACAACAGACAAGGGAAGCCACGCTGAGACATATTTATAAGGGGAWTGGTTAAAGTCAAATCTCTGCTTATGCATTTTAGTGGATCACATCAAGAATCAAGCCCCAATTCTTCTGTTTTGACAGTTTTGTAATGCAAAATAGAAAACACATACAGTAGAAATACAATCAAAATCCTTGCTACTTGAGTATCTGGAAGTCTTTCCTGTTTATAAATAGTAAAAAATGTATATTTATGTAAAGGGAAACACTGATTTACTAGAACTGATTGCTTCACAGTCTAATTACTTTTCAACTGGCTGTTCCAAATTAAGATGTCATTGATGGCTTTTTGTGATATATTTCATTTTAAGCAAATTTATTCTATAATAGAGCACATCATAATGGAAAGCAGAGTTCCCACTCTTCCCTCCTCTTTGTAGCCTGATATCTTGACAAGTAAATTAAATTTAGCAGTTAAAATGCTTCCATTAGTAATTTTATTAAGTTAATTAAGGAATCTCTCTTTCTGAATTTTAACTACATTGACTTCAGCACAACCTTGATTTTTAATTCCATATATTTAGTAGCCATCATGGTTTGAGGCAAACAACTACACAACATTCTTGAGTACARGAAACCTAAAGAAAAAAATACTTTTTAAAATGAGCTTTTGAAATTTCTTTTTAAGTGTGAATTCTTTTGCTTTGTATAAAAGAAAAATAGAATAGTCCTGCTCAAATCTAAGCAGTCGGCTTCCTATGTGTAATTCAAAAAACTACAAGTCATAACAATCACACAAACTGCATATTTAGGACAGTTAAAATTGGTAAAGATGGCCAAGTCAGTATTAGAAAAGGAAGAACCAGCTGAGCCCTTAYCTATAGCTTAAACAAATCTCATAGTTCTTGGTTCATGGGAAATACATTTTATAAATAATGCTTTAAGCTATGTTTTAAACACAAAGCATGGATATTACCAAACATTATGAGAACAACTGTCCTCTCACTTCAGAGAGGAGGGATATATGTGATCTCTCCCCCCAAATTTTCCATTGCCTCCAAAGCAAAGAAGTCTCAGTAACTTGCATCCAAACTAAATTCATATGTTGTAAATGAAAACTAGTAGAGTGCTTTACCTTTTCAGTCATCACACCAAAACATGGAAGAATACTCTTGCAGTGTTTTCTCAAAGCAAATRATCTAATTCATCATGTCATCATCTCCTCATAAAGGAAGTGGATACTACAACAAATAGTAAAACACTTATTCTGCCCCAGAATTAAGGTCTAACATCTTAACGTTCTCTTGTCCATTCCATGGTCTGCTGAAAAGAAAGGTCTATGAAAACTGAAATGAAATTATTAAAACCCAAGCACCAGCTATGAGGATCATAACATTTACTGTGTATGACAAGGCCCAGGGGCATGGTTCAGCATAGGCAGATTAAGATGTATGGATGCAATACTGCTCTTTAAAAGAGCTAAACATACACAAGCATATGGTACAAACAGCAGCTTTGAAGGAGAAATTATTTGCTGTTCAAAAGACTTGTTGATATGGATATTACAAAAAATCCTTCAGATGGCTTTACTAAAACAGAGAAATACTGTAGGATTCATTGATTCAACCTGAATTTAAGAAAGGTCAAGTAACATCTGCAGACAGTCCTTCACGTTTCAATACTAGCTTATAGTTAGAGAAGGTTGAGATAAGTACAATTTATGAGTTAACTGGAGAAAAATCATTGGAATAAAGCAACTGTAGAGCTCACGCACAAAATTAATCACTCAGCTGTGAGCTAACTGGACATCCTCTACTCTTTGTTACAGGACCACCTAACTAGTAACTCATGAACTATTTAAATCTAGCTAGCAAGACATACAGTCCCTATGTCCCAACTCAGCTGGAGATGAAACAGGAATTCTTTTCTACCCCTTCATAAGGCACAAACTTGATCAGTGGTACAGAAAGAGGATAGACCAAGAAATCACCAACATCTCCAACAAATGACAAATCTCTCAGAACTAGGGTTTTAAARTGAGTGTCTTCTGTGCAAGAAAGGCTATTCAAAGAAGTCACATGCACAGATCTGATACTCCCCACTGTTGATGATCTTTATTTGTTTTTAAATATCARAGGGATCAAAGGGATCCTCTTACTTGACTGGATACTGGAGCCTCATTTTCTGAAACCTGCCTCAAGAAGTATCTTCAATTGCTTCTTCACGTTTCAGATTGTGTGTGAAACAACTCAAAGTCAACTTCACCTTCTTGTAACCAACTGCATTAAACTACAAGCAGAGGAATCTGGATTTTCACTATGCAGAAAGCAGCATCTTGGTGCTCCCAACTCCCTCCCAAACACAAGCAGAAAGTATAGATCCCAAAGCAATTTGCTTATAGAACTAAATAAAAAACTTAGAAAACTAAATGACTCTATGTTCAAAATCATGTCCAAAGAAAAGTGCGCTGAACTGTGTGCTTCCACCTGTAGTCATCTTGAAGTGTTACCTTTTAAGTGATACTAAAAATAACGGGCTGCTTCTCCCAGGAACCCAGGCTCTCTCTGCATTCAGTCAAGCAAGAAAAAGCAACCACTTTTAAAAGAATAATATTACATTGATTTGGGTTAAGAGATTCTAATAGCTTTGTATGTTCTTTCAATACATCTGGTTACTAAAAACTATGTGAGCAAATAAACAATTCTTGTTGAAAACATTTATAATTCTAACAATTATAACAAAAGAATAAGCCCTTTAAGAAAAAAATAAAAGCTTCAAAAATATAACAGAGGCGTAAAGTTAGAAGGGATCACAAGCGGTCACAGAGTCTATCACTGTGCTCTAAGACAGGATCAGGGATATTTGCATCATTTCTAGCAGGTGTTTTTCCAACCTGTTACTTAACACCTCTAATTGCAAGGTTACACAATGTCTTTAAGCAGTCTATTCCCATGGTTAGAAAGTTTYCATCTGAACTAAAAAGCAACCACGCTAATAATTAAGTCAATTTATGCTTGTGGATACAGAGAAGGAGGACTGTCATATAACCTTTTGCATTTGAAAAGTATTAAAATGCCCTTCCCAAACTACTTCCTTCTGAACCAAAGAAAATAATCCTTTTAATCAACTTCCATTTCTGGACTACATCTTCCAGTATTTATCTCTGAGGAGTCAAAAACAAGGCTCTGATTTTCCCACACTTTTGAAGGCAACGGAATCAGCCCCCCTCTCTTCTCCTGCATTAGTTGTACTGTGGAGATTTTCCATCTTTCGTTATGCTCAATCAGCTATAGTCTTTCAAATAGGAGTACCAGACTTCCCTCCTCAGCCTAATGGGACATCACCTTGTCAAAACGCATAATTTACACAACAATTAAGAGAAATGGAGCTTAGATAAGGGTTAAGTTGCCTAGGACTCAGTCCAGAATACACTAATGCCATGCTTGCTGGACAAGGGTAAGAGCTGAATATACCCCTAGTTTTGCAGTAATCAAGGATTTATTAATTCTACAGCCCTGAATGCATGCCTTGGGCTTTGGAATAGTCCCAGAATTCTTATTTCTTGCATTCTCCCAACAGAATACACACACAAGCAACTTCTGGTAAGACAGAGATGGGGGCGGGGGGGAAAAAGAGAAAAAAAAAAAAAAAAGGTTTTCAAAATCCTTCTAAACTTTAGATTTGCTCCTAGTATCTTACTAGTACAGAAGTATTTTCCTTCATATAATCTTTACCATTATAAATATACATTTTTAAACACTCTGGCCTTTACCAACGCACACAATTTGCAGCACAAAGAATAAGTTTTGATGTTTCGTTACCATATCCTGGGCACTGTAATGAACACTTCAGTAAAGCTTGCATAAAACACATAAACCTACTACCACAAAACAAGACTCTGTACTTCCTAATACATTTTGTTCAACTTGCACCAGGCAAAGGACTTTCCCTGTAGTCTCTTAATACAAGTTCAGATCAACTGAAGGAAATCTGAAAAATCAAATCTAGCCTTCCATAATTTGATTTGTAGGAAATTGAGGAACAAAGCCTTACAGAGGGGGCTTTAAATAAATCATAATTAATTGCATGTGCAAACGCATCAACTAAATTTGGATGCACAATTAAATAACTAATCACAATTTGGAAAGGCTGAAAATTGCAATTGCATGCCAAAGCAGACAACCATGGCCCTAGGCCACCCCAGGTGTTTCTGCTTGCTCACRGAGCCAGGCACCAGGTTCTTTGCCATGGAGTTCACCTGTTGAATGCACCCGAGTCAACTTGCATCACTGTTAAACTAACAGTCACTGTGTTTCATAATGGGTCAAACATAGCATTTTTAAAAAAGTGTATTCAAGAAGATGTTACTAGAGCAGATGTTACTGAGGAAGGAAAAAAAAACACACACAAAAAAATCTCAGTCTGATAAGATATATAGATCATACCTTCAGTTCAAATAAATTTACACAGTTAGAAGTAAAGGCTTCTCTGCCAGACTCTCCCCAAATGAAGAGTTCTAACAACACATTAAAAATCCCAACCAACCTATCCAAAAGGGAACATAATGACTTAAATAGCAAACATTCATGAACATTTACAGAACACTGAATTAAGATATCATTTACTCTATGTTTAATGGAAATGATTCCTTACCTGCCAACTTCTTTCTTAAAGATCTTCCTTTCTATTCCAATTTTGTCCTGCCAGCAAATACAAACAGCACATTGAGATTTTTGGAGGTACTATCATATGGCATCAAATTAATACATTTTTATGYGAGAAGGGACTTAAAATATAAAATAAAAATTGATTTCAAACAGTGTTTTCCCCATCACTGCACCCAGAGTTTCACATCCATGCCTCTCTTGCTGGATTTTTCTTGCTCTACACATTAGTCTCAAAATTCTTCCCATTTCTAATTATTTCTTCATCAATAAACAAAGTGCTGCACAAGTACATAGCAAAGCGAGTTACATTTCCCTACACTTCTCTAGGCTAGTGTAATACAAGGGTGAAATCTGTGTCATACAACCTGGCAGCTTGAGCCCTCCCAAATTTAAAGGGGATGGGGCTGAGGAACTATACATTTGGGTGCTGGGCAACTATGGACAAGGATGCTCCTCTCTGGAAAGCATATAGGCAGTGGAATTACCATTTTTAATTAAATCATCAATAGTAATCCTGTTACCAGGAGCTGGAAAACTCTGTTTAATGAACTACACAGTAACAAAGAAAATAAAATATTTTAAAAGCTGCAGCATGAGAAAATGATAATTGGTCCAGACTTCACGTGCAGAATGAAACACACAGGGAGGGCATTAGCCCTGAGCAGTATCATGGCCTACCAGAGAACTGCTTTTCTGCCAGACCTTACACAATTATTTATTCCAAATAGGGGGTGCTTTAAGTGCTGCATTTTTTTCCTCATGCAAAATGAGGAGCAGAGCAAGATGTAATCATGATTGTGTGGGAAAGTTTGCAAGCTTTTAAACAGCTTGATGCTGAAAGAAACATTTATACCACTATCGCAAATTGGTAAGAAGAAACCAATTTCACACCCCTGTATCATTTAAAATGCCTTTGATCATTGCTCAAAGTACAGCTAAACAGATCATCTGCAAGAGCTCTGTAACAACCTAACCCTTTTGTAGGTGTTGCAGTTAGACTGGGCAGCTGAAATTCTTGAAGGAAAGGGCCTATTTTTCAAGTTTATATGACTAAAGAACTGATACACAGAGAAAAGTAAACCTACAAAAACACCAACAGCATGTAGCTTTTGCAAGTAATTCCCATTTACCAGGAAGGAAGGCAATGCAGGGAAAAATCTTGGCAGCATAGAGCTGAACTCCTTACTCACACCATACTGGGACAGACTAAAGCCACAGAAAAGGAGTAAGTTCTTTCACTTAATGCCATAAAATTTAGCAAATGAGACATTTTTTCCCCTCCTAAATGAAGCACAAGATCTGAGTCACCTACCACTGTGACTAAATGGGGGATGAGAGGAGGAAATCAAGGTGGGTAGCTTCACCTGAACACTTTTAACCACAACACATATTTCTAGCAGATCCCAGCACACTGAACTTCTCTTTAACCACAAGGAAACCCATACATGAAAGCCCTTGGTTTACTCACCACAGGCTTCCAGGACTGCAGCAGGACCAGAACTAAACGCCCAGATCACCAGACAAGGCCCCATTCAGGAGCTTACACTAACTCCCACTTAGCCAAGATGGTTGGCAAGCTCTTCCCCTTTTGGGGCTGGGCTGTACGGACTCAGGGTTCATTGCTCACCTGGGATCCTAGAGAAAGGTGTTGTGAATTAAGCTAATGATGCCTCCATGAAGCCTCCCCCACTCCTCAGCTGGGCTCAGGCTTTCAAGATCAACCCCAATGATCTGGGGCTCCCTGAGTGTGGCCTCATTCCTACCTGACCCGGCCCATGGAACAGCTTGGCCTCCGAGATGGGCAGAATTAAAAGCTATTGAGGCCTGCCTCATTTTTTTTAAACACATGCACGCACTCTTTGAAGGAAAAGAGCAATCTAGAAAAAAGGGAGATTTTGCAAAATGAAGGCCTAGGGGGCCTTTATAGCCCCTTTAGTAAATGTATAAAGTGACCAGGCCTCCATGCAGGGTCATACTGGGACAGCAGAACTGCTGGATGCCAGTTGCTCCTGAGAACGGATTACTGCAATGCTCAGTCCTCCCAGCGACAGCTTCCTAAGTAATTTTTGCTTTAGCCAAAAGACCTAATGTTTACTTGCAGGGGGCTAGCAACAATTTACATGCAGCATTTGTAATCAAAATAAGCATTTTGATATCGAGGTTAGCAAATTGGGCGCAATTCACTTCCATTGCATGCAGAGCAAAAATTAGTACGTGAAAAATGTCCTACTTTTCTATGGGTATGTTCAAACTAACTGCACGCTTTAAGCACTGGGACAAAGTATATTTCTAATTCTTGCAAAGATGCCCATTCACGTTGATAATCTCTGAAATAACAGGGACAAGGTCACCATCATCTTGCTCAGGATCAGCAAAGGACAGTGCTTATTATATTATTTCCAGGAAAAGGAATGCAACTGCACCAGCATGGACTTCTCCTCAATTAATTTTATCTTGTGCCAATTTAGTCCTTTCCTCTCATGCAGTTTGTCCCCATTTTAAACTTTCCTTCCACACAAATACCACTTTAAAATGAAAAGCTAGACTGCTTTACTCAAAGTCCTGATTTCATACCCAGTGATTTTACTCAGGACCACTTTCATGAGTGTAGATGGAGGAGTAGTTTGATGCATCAAAAACAAAAGTAGGTCTAAATGTCTAAAGTGAGGTATTGTCACTTGCAGGGAAAATTAAGTTATAAAAAGTTTTTGATCCTTCGTTATTCAGCACAACATATTAATCAATGTAAATACGATCACAGTAGCCTGGGAGAGCGCAGACAGGCAGTTAAAGGTGACATTGAAGCAACGTACTTCCTYGCTAAAGATGGATCAAGCCAACTACTGCAAGGAGGCAATGAAAGTAGCGTGTAAAGTCATGAGCAGCTAAAAATGTCATGGATTTTTAAGGCAGTTTTCGTGGGTGAGGACAAAAATTTTGACATTGAAGCAAGTGGCTGGTATTAGTGGCTCGTATTATCATCATTAAGAATTCAAAGTAAGTCACCACTGACACAATCTTGTTTTTGAAAGTGTTTCAAATATCTGAGTGGACATTTCTAGCTCATCCTGAAGAGGAAAAATGCTACTACCAACATATCAGTAAAGAAGTGCAAAAGAAATAGAAAGACACATTTGTGGGAATTTATCAGGAAAAACAAACTCACACGTATATATATATATTATTCAATAATAAGTATACCTAATCACACACAAATATAAAAAAGCCCACACTCAGTGGTCACAACATCATAGAGCTTATAAAAAGAATAGATACAACACCCTTAAGCTTTCCCAGATTTCTGATAACTTCATTTAAAGAAGAATAGCAAAAATACATTATTTATAGTTATATTTTTTAAATTTTATTTCTAGGGAACCTATCRCCATATCATGTGTAGGAAAAAACAGCGCTGTTGTACAGTTCTACAGTACTATCATTGTCATGATGTTGAATCAAACTAAGCTCAGTTCCAGGAGAACTCAATCACTTGCACATGAAGATGAGGGAGGACTGTGAAGAAAAAAATATGAAAGTACTTCTCTTTGATGGACAGGAACTCCAGTTAAAGACACTGACTTCTAGGTCCTCAGGAGAAACTGAGTGAAAGAAACTGAGTGAATATTTAGGTCAGAGTGAAAGATCTGTTTCTCAGATTGCAGACACTGCAGATGGTGGAAGAAAGCTGTAATATGTCAGACTTCACAAACTACCCAAACTCTGGTGATGAAAATTATGGCAAAGGACATGGCTGAATAGATGTTCACAGCTCTGTACTCAACCCATTTGTCCTAGGCATGCCACCAAATCCTCATAGTTAGCATCACCTGCAAGCCAAATCCACTTAGCACTAACCTTATTAATCTGTAGAATATGGAAAAGAAAAAGAGTCCAGCAATGGCTGGATGCATTATCTAAATCATATGTTTAAACARCAAGAGACGACAGGTTTGGTTAGGGAGAAAAAAAAAAAAAAGAAGCAAGCTTGGATAAGAAATCTTCACACATGTTTAATACTGAATGTACATCTTACAAAAATGGGTACTGAGAAATAAGAAGGTCAGATACATGTCAGATAGTCCTTCTGGATAGGGGTCAATATGATCAAATGATCCAAATTAGTGACTCAAAATAGTTATCTATATATTCTGTATATAGCCTATATATAGATAATACTCTTACTGCTATCCCTGTGTAGACATTTTGGTCATTATGCAACTCCACACCTGATCTCTCAGGTTGCATTTCCTTTTTTTTTTTTTCAGATGACAGGAAGACAGAATATTATTTACACTAAGACCAAATCCTTTGAGGTACAAATGGGTGGTTATTTTAAAGACAGGCTGACTCCATTTCAGAAGTGCTTTGTGGGACAACTCCATTGACCAGTTCTCTTTATWTGGTTTGTGCACCTGAGAAGCATCAGTCACATTTTTGCTGCCCAGAGCAGTTAGCTGTCTCTTCATTGCTGCTCCTTCTCCAGATCACTCTTCAAAATTTTTCTGTTTCATTTTAATTTATGACTGACACTTCTGACACTTTGTGTTCAAGCACTGATGTGAGGCCTTGCATTAAGGAGATATAAAAATAAACCATATATGTAATTTATGTTCTCTTGTGATTAAAGGTGTTTTGTTTCAGACATCCGTGACAATGTATTTGAAAATAGAGTCTATAGTTTCAATCAAAATACCGCTATAAATTTAAATGAAACCATTTTATTTGCTTAGAACTTTCTTTCTTTCAAATATATAAAACAAGGAAATCCCAAACATAATAAAAGCTCTCTTTTATACTTCACTCCAGAAACCGTAAGACTGGCCTGCATCTGAGTACCAAATATGGAACAAATTTAATAAAAGGGTTGTTAATATAATATGTAACAAATATGAGGAGGGAGGTATTCGCATAGGCTTAACAGAGTTGGGAGGAAGCTTAGCATAAAGGACTGTTAATACACTTATAAAAAATGCTATACACGGACAGAAGGAAAACTGCAGACAGCAGTTTCATTTAATGCATTTACTTTCCACCCTGTGTGATTTTGTGAGTATTTTAAACAACCAGGTGTGAATCCAGCAGTGGGTTTGACGTTTCATTTTTGCTTATTTATTTTACTGGGGGAGGAGCAATTACTATTGGTCTAATTAATGAATTTGCAATAGCTACATCACAAAGAAGATGAGAGTTAAAGATCAAAGTGTGACTGCACCTTAAAAGTCACTTGGGAGCAGATTTACATGTRAGATCTGAATCAGCCAGATTCGGATAGCCGAACCTCTAAGTCCTTATGCTATTTTTCTCTCCTGATTGGCTCTATGCCTTGAGAGATATCTAAACAATAGCAAACACTACACACTGGGACTTAGGAGAAAGGTGGCCTCCTGGGGCCTATTGTGATTTTCAAAAATGCCTAACTTAGTCTGAAATCAAGAGTAATTAGGTGCTTGTTCATTTCTGAATGCCTAATATACAAGTATCTGCATTTCCAGATAGCAAAACACCTTTAGAACAATATCCTTGATCTTTTGTTGAATTTAACCACTTATGGGCACAAAAGCGCTTTTGGGGAAGGAAGAAATATGAGGGTCACAGTCAGGAAAATAAAGGGATTGTGATGGAGACRCAATGAGTTTGTTGTCCACAGCTGGACCAGGTTGTGAGAAATCTGCATRGAAACCTTGTTATCTTGGCCTACATTCATCCCTTTTTGAGAAATGGAAATCCCTATTCCTGTTTCCAAATGAAGAAAAGGAGTCAGGGAAGGTCTTATCCTCCCCGTGCAGTGATTCTTGATCAGAGTACCCTTTGGGTGCAAGTAGCACCCACACACCTTTGGCCTGAAGCCCCTGTGGGACTCAGGGCTGGCCTGACACAGGCCCCTGTGCAAACCTCTAATGGGCAAGCACAGCTGAGCTTGGCTTCCTAGTCCTGCGATCCAAAATAAACCTCTCTGTGAAAATGCMTGGGGAAGAAAAGGCTAAAGGAAACAGAAATATAATGACTGTGTGAAAAGACAGAGGTAAGAACTCAGCTGGGGAGAGGCTGGCGGCTGCAGAGTGATGTGTGAGGCAAACAAATCCAAACCCTGTGAGACAGAAGAAGAGGTTATCATTTTATACAGGCAGGCTCTCCTCTGTCCTCCTGGTTGGTTTTCAGAGACCAGGAGCACAGAGGAGCACCAAAATAGCCTCCACACTACATTCCTGGTSTCATCAGTGGACATTCTTCTCTTCTTCTTCCCTCATCTTTCTTTCAGTGCCTATTTCATGATTTCCATCAGCTCAGCCTAAATCCACAAATATTCCAAGTCATAAAACATGATATCAATGTGCTTAGAAAATATTTTGCAAGTGCAGGCGTTGCGGTAGCACAGAACAAAGCACTCGAGGTTAGTGTGGAAAACCCTGTGGAAACCTTGTTTACCCTTTGCGTTCTCCTCTCGGCCAACACCGAGGCTCATCTCAGGGGTGGGACAGCAAATCATCCCCACAGCTTGGACTCAACTAACTTTCCAGAGCTAGAAG